CGGTGGCCTCTGTAGACTAAACTCCCTTACTAAGACTTTTGACCGGCTCGCATATGTGTTTTATCATAACAATCGCATGCTTTCACCTGGAACACAAGCATGTGCTCACGTGGAACACACTCATGTGGTCACATGCAAAAAGTGCGTGTTCAGTTGGAACGCGCCGATGTGGTCATCTGGAACACACCAAGAACACAAAATCATTCACTTAAAGCACGCGTGCGTGCATCCGCAGACCTGCTGCCTGGGGCTGGATCAAGCGCATGCGCGCGCTCAAACACGTTTCTGAGCCTCGAACACACATGCGTGCCCGCGGAATACACCGCAAATAAATCCGTCCACCCAGGGAGCCGTGCCAGGCATCCAGGCTGGAGACAACCGGGGACAAATAAGGGGAGACAAAAGGAGACAAATGAATCCGTCCACTCACAGAGCCGTGCCAGGCATCCAGGCTGCTGTCCGCCCGGAGAGCCGCGCCAGACCCAGGCTGGGAGACAACGGGAGACACATGAACCCGTCCAACCAGAGAGCCGTGCCAGGCATCCACCAGCAGGAGGCAAATGAAGGGATGTCCGCCCGAGCCGTGCCAGGCAGGGAGACAAATGATCTTGTCCACCCACACCCAGAGAACAATGAAAGACAAATTACACCATCATCGATCCCAAACAGTGAGAACCACACTCAATTGCATCAGGAGTTGTTCTCAGCACAGACACACACACACTCACCTAGTCAGCCGATGTTTTTACGGCTGCAACAGCCCCCCGCGCAACTTGGCCTGCAGCAGCACCCTGCGCAACTCTGAGTCTCGGCCTGTCGCAGCTCCGGCGCTCTGCGTCTCGGTCTGCAGCAATCCTGAGTCTCGGCCTGCAGTGGCACCGCGCGCAACAGCACCCCGTGTGCACACTCACGTGTGCACACATGTGTGTTCCACGTGTGCGTACATGTGTGTTCCAATGTGACACGTGTTTGTGTTCCAAGTGAACAGATGTGAACGCATGATTGTTTTCGAGGTGCGCACATGTGTGTGTGCGCTTTAGGTGTGCATTTATGTTTGCTCATGTGTGCACATATGTGTTCCACGTGTACACACACATGTGCTTTAATCGCACACGGTACGCACATATTTGTGTTCCAGTGGTATACGTATGTGGGTCCCACGTGTACACACATGTGTGTTTTAATTGCACGTGTTTGTGTTCCAGGTGAACACATGTGTGTTCCACGTGTATACAGATGTGTCTGAATTGGACACGCGTTTTTATTGTGTTCCAAGTGAACACACTATGTGTGTTCCAGGTGAACACATTAGCGTGTTGTAGGTGAACACATACGTGTGTTCCAGGTGTGCACATGTGTGTGAGCTTTCCAAGAAGCACATGTTTGTTTTCCAGCTCAACACATTTATGCGTGTGCCGCAGGTAAATGTACATGTGTGTGTTCACGGGTGCACATCTGCGCGTGCCGCGTGTACTGTTTAAGTCGTATACATATGTGTGCCCACGTGTGCACACACGTGTGTCTGAACTGCCCATGTGACCGCGCGCGTGCGCAGCCACACTTGCGTTCACGCGCGCGCTTGCCCGCCATCGCACGCGCTTGCCCAACCTCAGTTCTTGCGCGGCGCTGAAGCGCGAAGCACGCCAGCAACACACGTGCAGCAACGCAACGCGTGCCAGGTTCGCGACTGCATCATTCTGATTGCATGTTTGTGCTTGCCCGTCAGTCCTCAACTGTTTGGGGTCTCTGCTGGTGTAATTTAGGAATCAGTCTAAGTTCTGAGGTAATTTCCTTGCCTCGGGTACACAAAGTCGTGAAATGAAAAATTGAAATTTTGACTTTTGTGCACAAATAGCATTGGAAAGTGCAAAAGGCCGATACCAAGTGCAGAGATTTATCCAAGAATCCTAGCACACAATCCTCAGCGACGCAATCATAAGCGCCCACCGAACTGCTGACACGACTTCCATTTTTGCGGACTCTCAACAAGACTCTCGGCAAGACTCTCAACACGTTTCCACGTCGTACTGTGATGTCTTCGCGCTTTCCTTTTCCCGCCGTCTTCCCAGCGCAACGTAACCTGAGCCGCTCAGCACGACAACGCACGACAGATGTGCGCAATTTCCTGAAGATCGCTGACGGTAAAAGCAGCCTGCAGCCGGGAAAACTTTCGCGCGTTGAAACTGTTACTGAGGCACGTGTGAATAGTGAACCAGGTTGCACATGCATCTCCGTCAAGAGATTTGTCTACTCTCAGCAACTGTCAGAAAGCTTTCTTTCTTTCTTTCGGTCTTTCTCTCTCCGTCAGCCCTTAACGTGGGGATCTCTCAGCAAGGAAATGTTCACAGAACGAGCGAGTTTGAGCAGGCCAGAGAATTCCCTTTAAATTCACCCACAAAACCTTCACAGACAGGAGTTTGAGGGAGGCCTTGAGAGAGGAAGGCCTTGCAGAAGACACTGCGCGTAGGCAAAAAGACCCAAGCGATAGATTTCTCAAGGTGCTCATCTGGAAGCTTTAGCTAGCCTCCATCGACAAAGCACGGCCCTACCTGAAATAGCAGCTCCTTCAAGTGGGCCGTGCTCATTGGCTTATCGTTGAGCGCGCGAAGAGATTGATCTGGTTCAGCACAGAGATCTCGCGCTGGAGGGCCACGGAGCACGGCAAGTGAGGCCTATATGCCATAGGGTCTTATAATGGAGCTACTGCAGGCCTGGCCCAAAACCGGCCGCAGCGTCTTTCACCAACTGACCGTTGGACGTGGGGGCGGCCATGTTCACCAACACACTTTCAGCTTCAACACGACTCGTCACCCAAGCCCTCACCATTGGCACCGTTGAGGCCCGGCCAGGACGACAAAGTGAACTTGTTGTAGTAGTCCCTCAAGGCGGCACGTGAGTGACACACGCAAGAAAACTTTCCTGGGCATTTACTCCGGCACTAAGCCGATCTTTTGGCTGAAGAAGCGGCTCTTGCTAGGGCCGCGAAGCTTCAGGGCCTCGTCCTCCTTGCCAGCAGCAAGCCTTCGCCTCCCCCAGCAGCCAACTTCGCCTTGGAAGCTGGCTTGGACTTGGCGCCTCGCGCTGGCTTTGACGCAGGTGGGCTGGTCTGGCTGCTCGGGCAGCTTTCGACTTGCTCTTCTGCTTCTTGCTGGGCGTCTGGCTCACCGGCGTTGTCGGGCACAACCTCACTGAGGGTGTGGGCTGAAACTGCTGGAGCACTGTCTGGCGTGCTGCTTTTTCCTTTCGTGGCTCTCTTCTCCCTTGCTTGGCAAGCTCCGTGGCTGCAGGCGGCGCAGCGGCTTTGGCGCGGGCCTCGGCAAACTATCCGTCAACTGTGCCCGGCGGACCTGAGAGGGGTTTTCGGGCTGACCGGGTGGCAACAGGTTCTCTCAACTGTATAGTTCTAAACCAGTTCGGTATATGGGTCCCCGGCGCAGCACGGCCGCCGAGGCAGCGTCGCTGCGACGCAGCATGCCCACGTCCAGCGGGCGCAAGTGCGCCGGGGTGTTTCGGGCAACCCCCCATGGCACTCCGCCGATCCAAAAGCGCTCGCGCCCTGTCATGTTCACAGTTATAGCTTGAGCCTGACGCAAAGCGCTCGCGGAACCAGTGTAAGCGCGAAACAAGAAACCTTGTAGAAGCTTCTGAGCAAACTTGAGAGTCTTGAGGAGACTCTTGCGGAGACGATTTTTGTGGAGAGTCCCGCTCACAGTTTGCCATGAGCTTTTTGTTGTCTGCGACGTGCTGAGGGGTCCCCGCCGAAAACCCTCGTCAAGAAAGCTCTTAAATTGTCCGCTGAACGGCAAACTTCTCAACAAAACTCTCGTCAAGACTCTAGACCAGAAACTTCTCAACGCAACGCTGAACGAAGCTGCGAGCGAGACTCTCAGAAGCCAGTACTCTCAGCCAGATTCTCGACAAAAACGCAACGCCGAACGAAACCGCGAGCGAGACGCTCAGAAACCTGTGCTCTCAGCAAGACTGTCCGCAAATCAGCCGGAAACATCGACGCAATGCTGGACGACGCTGTGAGCTCGCAGAAACCAGTACTCTCAGCAAGACTCTCAGCAAGAGTGTCAGCAAAAAAACCTGACGCCGAGCGACACTGTGAGCGATGTAACAAAGGTGGCTCGGCATTACGGGGCCCTACTGTCAAGCGCGACTCGGCGGCTTGTTTCAGCGCGCGAGTCAAGTGGCTCTGTGAAAGTGGCTCTTGCGATCAGGGAAGGGTGTGGAATGACCCAAAGCACTTAGAACAGCGCTACCACGGCGGCCTGAGGAAGCCCTCAGCCCGGAGCTCTCAATCGCCGCGCTCGGCACGGGTGCTCTCAGCAAAGCCCTCAACAAAACTACGAGCCAAGCAGACAAGTTTCCGAGCATTCGCAGAACTTGTCCCGGCCAGGCATGCCTGGCGCCTTTTGGACACGGGCGGTCATGCCACTAGGCTAAGCGTTTGGCAGCTTGAGCCCACGCGCTCGGCCCGGAACAGCTCGCGCTGACCTTGTGACGCAAGCAAAGCCCAGCGCCCAAAGACATTATCAAGATGAAACAAATCAGTCGCGCTGCGTGCGCGCACTCGCGTGCGAGCAAGCAAAAAGGGATAACGTTCCCAGTGTGGAAATGTTCTTGAAACTAATTTTGCACATTTTAAATTCAAGTCAATTTTTCAATCTTGCGAAGTTTGGGCTTAACTTAAGATTAAGTCTTAAAGACAACTTTTTTGTCTTACCGGAGCCTTGGCCCAGTTGAACGCCGCAATTCTTGGGCCTGGAATTTTCAGCCAGCGGGTGACAAAATGCAAACACGCGCAGCACTGCGCACTTTCATTGGGGACCCAGCCCCCCCGTCCTGCAAAAAACGATTCCCCACCCCAAAAAGCAACAAAGTTGTCCAGCCTCAAAATGCTAACCGGAACAAAAACTGCAATCCGCCATGCTTATTAATCTGGGTTCACGGTCAACAAACCCTGGCTTGCGCCAACCTCCCAAGCGCCAAGCCGCCATAGGTTGCTCCAGGGCATCCTGAGTCGGCGCATGTCTGCAAAACGGCAGCCCCCATCCATGGCCGTCTTTGCTCGCCAAGCATCCAAGAAATCCTCGATGCGTTGATTTGCCAGCACGTTGAGGGCACAGCCACCTCTGGGCCCCAGCGCTGCAAGTTGTTCTTAACAAAACCGCTTTCCTTTGGACCCTAATAATGAAAAATCGCGAAAGGGGCCCCCTCCAAATTGACAAGGAGTGTTGGGCTTCTTGGCTGGTGTGCCAAGTCGGGCCGGGAGCTTCCCCCCTTGTGCTTTTTTCATGAGAAGCTGGTGGAGACTGCGTTTCGCGCACGAATCCAGAATCCCGAATCCCGCCTTCTCACAGCCCCGAGTCCCGAATGCTGAAGAATCCAAAATCCCGAATCCGAGGATGGGGCGTTCCCCCAAACCCCAACTCCCGAATCCCAAGTCCCGAATCCCGAGCCCTGAGTCCATCCGGGTCCAAAATCCCGAACTCCGAATCTGAGGATGGGGCCTTCCCAGTCCCGAATCCCAAGTCTTGAAGCTTGAAGGCATCCCGAATCCCGAATCCCCGAACACAAAGCCAAAACCAGCCGACCAACCCTAAACCATCCCCTGGAGCACTGGACCAAACCAACCCTACACCAACGCTAAATTAACCCCAAGCCAGCCTTAAACCACCCTAAACAAACCCTACACCAACCTAAACCAACCAAAACTCAACCCTGAACCAACCCTAAACCAGCCCTGAACGAAAACCAACCATAAGCCAGAAACCAACCCCGAATAAACCTTAAACCAACCCTAAACTAAGCCAACCCAGACTCACCCTGGCCCTGAACCAACCCAAAACAACCCTCAACCCGCACAAAGCCAACCCTCAGCCAGCCCCTAGACCCACCCTAAACCAGCCCCTTAACCAACCCAAAACAAATCTAAGCCAACCCTCAACCAGCCATAAATCAACCCTAGACCAGCCTCTACACCAACCCTGCACGAGTTACCCTACACCAGCCCCAAACCCGAAACATTTGAAACCAACCAACCCCGAAACCTAAACCAACCCTGAACAAACCCTAACCAAGACTAAGCCAACCCTGATTCAGCCCCTAGACCAACCTAAAACCAACCCTAAACTAGCCCCAAACCAACCCAAAAACCAGCCTGAAACATCCTAAACCAACCCCAAACCAACCCTAAACCAACCCCAAAGCACCCCTAAACCAGCAACCCGAAACCAACCCTAGACCAAAACGAAACCAACCCTAAACCAACCCCTTAGGCAACCCTAAGCCTACCAACCTCAAACTCCGACTCTCGAATCCCGCATCTCGAATCCGAGGATGGAGCCTTCCCATCCTAATTCTGTTGAGAATGTCGGGTTTACGGGTCGAATTCTGACGCCAATAAAACGTGAGAGCGTGAGTTCGGAGCACAAAACTGCAAGTTGCGCATTTGTTTTGGCGGCCTGCACGCTTGCGGGGGCGCGTCAATCACCGCTTGCAAGGGCGCCACCCACACGAACCCACCGTATACTGGCATTGATACGAATGCTTTTGTTCCTTCAACGGCGCAACACCGCAAAACGGTCACCACATTAAACCTACATATGAAAATTTGTCCTGAAACGGGCCTTGGTGTAAACTTAGCCGTGCCTGAGCGTGAACAAACTGCGACGGGGTAGCTTCTTTGCAGCTGCGAAAGGGAGATTTGGACATGCTGATTGCACGCGTTTGCAGGCCAGATCTGGGTCATTCAGTCACAGGCAAGATGCGCCTTGCAGGCCAGTTGAGGCCGGCCACTAGCCACAGCCGAAGCACAGCAAGCAAGTTGCTAGACCCAGTTTTCATGTGTTCCCAATATGCGATTAAATCCCAAATCCGGAATCCCGAAAATGTGATTAAATCCCGAATCCCGAGTCCCGAAAATGTACTTAAATCCGAAAGTCTGAATTCCGAAAATGTGATTAATTAAATCCATTCAAATCCCGAATCGCGAATCTCGAAAAAGCAACTAAATCCCGACCGCTGAATCCCGAAAATGTGATTTAATCCATTTAAACCCCGATCACAATTCCCGAAAATGCGATTAAATCCCGAATCCTGAATTCCGAAAATGTGATTAAACCCCGAATAACAAATCCCGAAAATGTGAATAAATCCCGCATCACGAATCCCGAAAATGTGATTAAATCCCGAATCCTGAATCCTAACAATGTAATTAAATTCATTGAAATCCCGAATCAGGAATCCCGAAAATGAGATTAAATCCCAAGCCCTGAATCCCACAAATGCGATTAAATCCCAAATCACGAAAATATGATTCAATCCCCAATCCAGAATCCCGATCCCGAAAATGTGATTAATTCCCGAACCCTGAAAAACGAAAATGTGGTTAAATCCCGAATCCCGAATCCCGAAAAAGCGATTAATTCCCGAATCGAGTCCCGAAAATGTACTTAAATCCCGAATCCTGAATCCTAAAAATGTGATTAAATTCCGCATCACGAATCCTCTGATTAAATCCCGAATCCTGAATCCCAAAAATGTAATTAAATCCATTGAAATCCCGAATCAGGAATCCCGAAAATGAGATTAAATCCCAAGTGCCACTGGCTCACTGCGGAGCCTGGAATCCCTGGGCCTGAACAAACGGGCGATCCTCAGGGCGCAGCTCCTTTTCATTGCATGCTATGAGTCCCACCACTTGATCCGTGGTGGCAAACGATGAATGGGCGCTTATGCCTGAGGCCATGTTGTGAAAGGGCCTGAAAGGCTCATGCAGAATGTCACTCCTCACCATCTATACAGGCTAAGCGCCGCTCACATCATCGCCACTTCTTGTTGTCACTGCCCACGTCCGTTGCGGACTTTGCCTCCACTAAAGTCACCACCGGATCAGCCATCCATTTGCGAAAGGCATCTCGAAGGGGGCGACTTCTCTTGGTTAAGCCGTCGGCACACTGCTTCTCGGTGGGAACCCAACGAAGGTTCCGGCAAGCTTGACGAAGGGCAGCCACGTCAATCTCCGCACGCTTCTCCTGAAAACTGGTGCTTAAGCGATGCACCGCGTCAAACAGTGACCTGGCATCAGTCACCGGTACCACTTCGAAGGCTGGCATGCCTGAAGTTGCCACGTAGTCGGCGTGGACCATCTCACTGAAAACACATGCCATGAAGTTGCCCATGTCAAAGGCGCGGTCCATGGATGCTGCTTCGGCAGCAAGCGTTGAGCGAAGAGCTCTGTGATGCTGCTAGCTCTTCCACTCCAGCAAAGATGCTGGCCTCTCCATCTCGAAGACCTGCTTGTCGGTGAGCAACACTGTCAAACCGCCTTGGCTCTTGTTTCCAGGCGCATTGCCCCAACCAGCATCTCCATAAGCGATGAACACCGCTTCCTTCAAGTCCACCGGCGTGATCTTGACGCGGGCATCGGCCGTTGCCCTGACATACTTCAGCACCAACAAGTCGCCCACGGTCAACTCCTTGGGACGCTTCTGCAACAAAGAAACATCAGCCGCAATGTCTCCGCGGCTTGTCCCTGCCATCCACTGCAATGACCCAATGCCAGACTTGAACTCCGTGATCAGCTCCGGGTGGTCTTGCAGTAACTCTGAGGCTTCCAGGTTGACCTTGGTCTTGTCGATGTCCGACACATAGTGCACTTGGTCCAGGGTGTAGCTGTTGTCCGGAAGTCGCGTGATCCTGCGGCCGACGAACACGAAAGTGTCTTTCTCCCATTCAGAGCCCCACTCGAAGGACTTTTTCACCGTGTCCAGCAGGTACTCGTAGCCAGGCAGGCAGCAGGTGACAATGTCATCGACATGCACTCCCAACAGCGCGACCACAACGGAATCCAGCAGCAAGGATCCAAGCTGTGTTGAACCCAGTTGGCCTCGGTGAGCACACGCAGGACGTGAAGGAACCAGCGTCTGGGTGCGTTGGCTTGTCCATAAACCGGGGCCGTCAACTGGTAAAGCAACGTGGTGTCGGACCATTCAGAGGCAAGTGGTACAAGCCGAAGGCACGCATAGTGGCGCAAGGGTTCCGAGACCCGCACTTGCCGCTTCTCAGCCGCGATGCTCCGGTTCTGGCCAAAACCAGTCTGGTTTTGATTCTTCAGTGGGCAGCCAGTCACGGAGTGTCCTTGTGGAATGGCGATTGCAAGTCAGCTTTCTTGCAAGGGGAGCCCGACACGGAAAGACCGGTATGCATCTACATGCAGCCGCCCAAGGATGACATCAGCAATATAGCCGTGCTCCTTGGGCTTCCAGCGATAGCAAACCCGCGATCGGAGGATGAGCTTGGGGTCCACCTTTGCCCACACCGGCCGGCAACTCGACCATTTCTTCCACTCCGACCACTCATCGATCAAGGCCTCCACGAAGCCAGCCACGTCCTGCTTCGCGATGGAGCGCCAGGGAACTTCTCGTTTCAGAGCCTGACGGGCTGCTCGAGACCACCTGTCTCTGTGGCATCTTCCTCATCCTCGTCGCTGCTCTCCGCACCGTAGATCATCTGCTCCGTGTTGATCTCCGTTGCGTAGACCGTGACGTTGCCCATGTGGTTGTCCCTCTTGTAGCGCAACCAGCCATCATCTCCAGGCTTCGGCAAAGATGGAGATCCTGACACATCTTGATGAGGTAGATCAGGAAGCAGTTCGAGCTTGCCCTCGTGAGCCTTGGCGAGGTAGGTGGTGTAGGAGTTGGCGAAGGTGTCGTAGCGGAACATCGGTTGTACTTCGGGAGCCGAACCATCCCATCCGCAAAGAAGGGCACAATGACGACCATGACGCGAAAGCCATCGAGCTTCTTGCCGTCGAAAGAAAGGCCGTCTTGTCTGCGTTGGTTGTCTGCTCGTCGTCTGTGGTGGTGTTTGCGTGAGGTGCTGCACGTAGACCGTCTCGCCGTAGGTCTCGTCAGTCGCTTCGTCCTCGGAGTCTGTGTTGACGTAAGCCTCAACCGTCTCGGGGTGGGTGCCAATGTCCTCGAAGACGTGCTTCCACCGCCAATCTTCCCGATCGCGCACAGCAACGCTCCAACACTGTCCGGCAGGAACATGTTCAGGCTTGCTCCTGAAGATCTGGCCCACGTCCAGGATGTAGTTCTCAGCGCTCGGAACAACAGGCACCTCCT